GGACCCAAGAGCAAGGAAAAGCATTTGCGCGGCCATCTCCGCGGCAGAGGCTGCGTCTCTATTTGCTTGTTTTTTTCAGAAAACACAAATTTTCTTTTCTGCACAGAAGACACAAGTCCAAGTGACTTGGACAAGACAAAAGCCCAAGACTTGCAACTTGAGCATGGCTACACTGCACTCGCTGCAGGGAACAGCATCAGTCTCCAGTGCTCTGCACAAGGTTCCACAGAATAGTCTAATGCACGAGTCAGAATTTGACCCTACAACACCACAGCTTAACAAGTGCCACATGACCTTCAGACAACTAATATAAACTTGTCAAAACCATGCCCTAAGTTACCCGAGTGCTGAAGAAGGACCATCATGCCATGGAGGTTAGGCAAACTAGATAAAAAACAAAACTTGGCTTAACATAGCCTAGGTCTTACAGTTTTCCTGTACTCGGCATCTACACAAACACTGTTCCAAGCCATCCCCTACAACGGGGGTCGCTTACACATGTTAAAGGAATTACTATTACATTTTCTAAATCAGGTGCTTCTGAGAATAGGCCCAGTAACACAGAACTGGGAATACTAATGAAATTCATGTCAAAATGCAGTATGGTTGCAGGTAAATACCAATTGGATTACCCCCTCTTTCTGTTAGGGTTATTTATTTTACAATACTACATCCACGGTCAAAGGAGAGATGTTCACACACTGGTGCCAAAAAATCAAGGCATTGAAATGAACAAACTCCAGAGTCCTCAGCACACCAGAATTTTGTACTGATTACACTCTACGATGAACCGTAACTTCATTAAGGCTGCTCCTCTGTTTAACCAGCACAGTTGTGTCTTTGCTGTTACAAAGCAGAAAACTGTCAAAACCAGCAGTATTACAAAGGCCAGCACTCCTTTGAAGGTTTACTGGCATCAGAAATTTATGCTATGGGAGATCATCCCAAAAGCACTTAAATTAAAAAAAAAAAAAAGTTTTTCAGACTCTTGAAAAATATGCATCAAAACAGTAACATAGGTATATTGTTGAAAAACTTACAGACATAGGTATGCTTGTAGCAGAAAATCATGGACTATTTTCCCTTTTAACTAGAAGAATGGACTCAGGCTGGAAAAACTGAAGATTAAACCCACTCACTGAACAGAGAAGCTGCTTAAATACAAAATTCTCCAAGTATGAAAGAACATATCAGATTGTGATTGTGGTACTTTTAGCAGTTTATAGAGATGACAGGAAGGCTTTAGCCTCATATACTTGATATCGTCCCGGGGAAGTGCAGGGGGGAGAGGCACCACAAACATGTATAACATCACATTTGGAAGTGGGGACAGAAGTGAGGAGTTAAGAGGGGAGGAAATATGAATATCAGAGAGATGTTATTCTTTTTGTTATGGGTCACATTCAGATAGTCTTTGAAATACCTTCACATGGCCATTCTCTCTCACAAGTTTCTAAAATACCTCAGCACAAGAAAAGCTCTTTCTTACCTAGTATGCAGTGGATAACAACCAACTACTTCCCATTTGCTATACGAAAGCAAGAGGAAGAAAGGAACCAAGAAAGCATTCCAGTTTAGTTATAAAAAAAATTCCAGTTTAGTTATAACTCTATTATAATTCAACCTGTAACTTTTTAGTTCACTTTGACTAGGTACTGTAATCCTAGTCAAAGGATTCCTAGTCAATTACTAGGAATCCTGCAAGCATATCTGAAACATTTTTTGTTCGCTCTCAAGTTTGCTCTTTCCTTGGTATGTTCTCTGTGCTGTCCTATTTTCTCCAAAAATAAAGTTCTTCTAATTTTCAGGTTTCTTACTTCTGGATGTCTTTTTTTTTTTCTTCCTTTTTTTCCTCCCCCAGAAGGCAGCTATTAGTACCACCAAGGGCAGCTGAGCAAAATCAAATAGCAGAAAGTGACATGCTTGTGGCCCACGAGCTACATGTTCCAATGATAATGGAGAAGCAACACCAGGCAGTAGACATTGCCAAGGTTTTTGCTACTGTTTGGCCTAAATCAAGTAGAAAACCTTGCCTGCACAGAAGTGGAACCTCTAGTTTATCAACAGAACAGCTTCACCAGTAGAAGCCAGAGCAGTCTCATTTAACTTTGAAGGCAGTCTTGCTTTGAGGAAGTTTGACAATGACTTGCTGAGGTTCCTCCCAATTGACATTTTTCTATAGTTCTGAGCAGTTCATAGCAAAAAAAAAAAAAAAACCACACACACCCACTAAAGAGCTACATTACAATTTAATCTGTACAAATATCAGTTTGCACTGATAGCCTTGTTTGTGCTAAACATCATTGGGTAGTACAGAAATGAACTGTTTCATACCAACTGAATATTACCCTCCATGATCAGTGGAGCTACCCTACAGTAACTAGTGAAGTGATGGTTGTTTTTGAAACTCTGAAGTTTACTACCTAAAAGTATTCCCTCTTCCCCCTAAATGCTCCTTTCAGACATACTCCCTGCTTTGCAGCACCCTGAAAGCATGACCTACAGTCTCTACAAATTGTATTTCCCAGTGGTATCTAGCAAATCGTAATTCCTTCCTTCAGTAGTGCCTGCAAGCAAAAAGTGCAAATTCTAAGCCTACACAGTACAAGAAAGTTGCTGCCTGCAACTTAGGCGTCAACCAATAGTCCACAAAGTTGCTAGTTAGAGTTCTAGAAAAAAGCCGAGTCCTTCAAAAACTGGTATTTCTAACCTACCTCAAAAAAGAGAGTCAGTAACAGATCATCAGCTGGAGGGTCACAAGGCCCAGGCTTTGCTGAAAATCTCTATGTGGAAGAGCAACATATGTTGCAGACATAGCTGAAAACCTGTGGAGAACATGAAAGAGGTGGAGATTGTATTTTTAGTTAGCAATCTCCTTTTTGGTTTGAAAAAAAAAAGATCTCTACTACCAAGTAGAGCTACAACAGGACACTTCTGTCAGATGGTATACCTTGAGAGGCATTACTCCTGGAGTACTACTGGAGTATAGAGGAAGCTTTCAGTTCACAAACTCACTAGCTAAAAATAACAAACACAGTCAAATATGTTGTGTAAAGTTAAAACTAGAAAAAGAGTAACCAAAAAAAAACCACCTTTCTTTAGCCACTTCGGAGAATCATTAGCACAGTAGCACACCACAAGAAATCTGTTAATTCTGAAACTATGAGTTGGATTAAGCTGCCTGAACAAAGGCGTATCATTCCATTTTCTACATCACTAGTCATCCAACTGGTCTCCAACTGCTACTCCAGAAGAACATCAGCCTTCTAGAGCTGAATTTGTCTGCTGTTCACAGATGTCTTAAATAACCTAGAGCACTAAAATGGCACTGGACTCCTAAGCTTGGGTAGCAGAATCCCAGTCTAAATCTACTAAAAAGTTTACAATATTTTATTTACAATATAAAAGTAGTGCAAGTTCTTCCCTTGGTTATACTAATTAAGTATAGTCTGATGTCAAGAAGAGTATTAAGGTGTAAGTGATGACAGAATCTAGCCAAAAAGTCTGACATAAAAAAGCCATTTTATTGTAAGAAACTAACTTGCAAAAAAATTAGTTTTTCCAAAACTAGCTTTTCTTGCTGATGCAGATGTGCCAAAATACGTAACTTGTAGGTCATTCTGAACAGCAGCTGACTCCGGCTCAGCTGCCCACTCCAGCCCCACACAGAACTTACTATCCCCACAGCAAGCATGACAGTTTCTAAGGCATCAGTTTTCAACCCAGAGCACTAGTTTATACTAAGTCCAAATTCACTTCTTAACACTTGAGGCCCTGAGTATTCTAGGATGAAGTAGCAGCAGTTCAGGAACTGCTTCATAAACTGTCAGCCGCATCCTTGCAAGAGCAGCAGTTTCTATTGCAGAACAGGGTAAGCACTTTGTGGGGGGAAGAGGAATACCTGCTTCAGCTCTCCGGTGCTAATATTTTCCTACATGAGTCAAAACTTCCAGTCCTCCAATAAAGTTATTTTGCTTAATAGCATTGATCCTGCAATGTACAGTATGCAGTCGTTCTCTATCCCCCAGGAGTCACCTAAACTTTTGGGGGGAATACAGAGATCTTTCCAAGCACTGAAGACTGCAGAATAGAAATATACAATTTATTTACATAAAGTATGAATCACTTGGTGGAGGGCAGAAAAGTCAGTTTTCACTCTAAATCACTCTTAATAATCCCCTTTTTTTTTTTTTTTTTAACTATATCGGTAACTACGATATGTTACTATTTAGGCATTTTAAATACATTTTTGCATATTGCTTCCCATATTCCATCAGCAAGTCATTGATATGCCCACTACTCAAGCACTCAATGCAAGCTTGCTACATTTTTTCAATATATTACTTCAAAAGCCAAAAGTTATAAAATAAAAGCATACAGCAAACTTTTGTGCTTTCTGCCATACAACACTGGCAAAAGCAAGCCACAACCAAGAAGAATAACACAAATTTCATGAGTTTCACTCCTTTTACAGCCACCATGAAGAACTTGTACAATGTACATGAATCTTCAGATGAAAGTGTTGTCCACAGCATAGAAAAAAATGAAGGTACAAACAAGAAAGCTGGGCAAAACAAGACAAGAAAGTAAAAAAGACCTCATCTGAGCTCAGGACACAAAGTTACTGTTTTATAGCAACAATCATACCTACATAGTCACCTATAGCTCTAGTCCATCAAGTCATAGCTGCCAGCAAGATCTCTGTGCCCCTTTTAGACCATGGTAAAAAGGAGAGTAACACCAGTTAAAGCACTAGGTAGATTTAAAATCTGGAACCCATCTCCATCGATCTTCATTACTGACTTACCCTGTGGTCAGGCAGACCACACCATACTAGCAAAATGCATTGTATTGCAAGAGTTAGCAAAACAGCACATCATTCCATCATCACAAGTATTTGCTTAACTGTAATTAGGTGATAGTCTTGCCATTTCCCAATTGGCTTTTTCTGGTGACAGTGACTGTAGCAATGAACACAAATACTTTTTCTGTAGATGTATTTTATCTGGCTCCCACATTCATTTTCTGTCTTCTGTACTGTTTGTATTTTATCTGGCTCCCACATTCATTAACAGTACAGACAGAAGACAGAAAATGTCCCTTACTGCCTTTCTGGTTTGGGCTTCATTTTTTCTGACTACCTTCGTCTCGTGACAGACCTTCTCACCCATATCATTTTTACATCATTCTTCCTTATCCAGTTCAGAAAGAGGCATATCAAGGATTTATCGTAGGTACTAAAACCAGCCAAAACGCAACAATGAAAGGGGTACTCCATATTACTGGGGAAAGAGAAGAGCAACTCCACCATCATTAGACTCTTGGTTCTTCAGTCACCCAGTAAAAAATAGTAAATAATATCATCCCTAATTGTGGAAGAACAAGACATCAAGTAAGCTTTGCTGTTATCACAGCCAATGGAACTGTTTTCTAATTGCGTATCATGGCGGAATTTGAGTAGATCTTCTGCTGTTTATGAAGCAGCAACCTGACAACAGCCTGTTCTTAGGCAAGAGCTCTTTCCCATTCCTCTAGGTGGAGATCTTTTTTCACTGGGTTTGTGAGAAAGAAGGGATTGTATTTCCAATCCCTTAGGAAACTGGGCAAAAAAAAAAAAAAAGCCAACAAACACCACCACATACATTCAAATTGACTAAATCACTTTTAAAATAAAAAGGTAGCAAAAGCTACAACAGAAAGAATTTCTTTTCTAGTAGGTGATCAAATAAGTGCCTTCATAAGTAAACTAACAGTGGTTTCCCTCCAGTGTGTGTTTGCCTCCCATGACTCACACTATAACACATGCACCAACACTGAGCAGACAACCAGTACGCATGACTAAAGGCCAGTTACTGCTAGATGGACTACACTGTGAATGAATTCTGCCCATCTCAATTGGAACTGAAAACTATGGTTTTTTCCCCCACACATACATTTAAAAAAAAAAAACCACTACCCATATAAACATTTTCTAGCAGAATCAATTCCTCATTCTGATTCTCAGTACAGACACACAAACAACTGTGCTTGCAGGCACTGGAAGGATACTGCAGCATCACAGTGAGTGGCTGTGCAGGGCAGATCACCTTGAATTGGTATTGCCATTTTGTACAGTTAATTCACACCTTGCCTCTTCTTTATGCAAACTTCAGTTTTCAAAGTCTGTAGCAACTTCAAGTCTTCAGCGCTTTGGCTCACTCTCTCCAGCATGGTTAAAGATAACCCACAAGTTTAGAAGTTGTGCGTGAGCAGTAAGATAGCATGACTGCATAAGCTTTGATGTCTTAAGAAACTAGGCAAAAAAACCTCAAGCCACATCGCTGGAAGCCACTCTTCTTACCAGGCTGAAGAAACACCTGCTAAGCCTTATCCTTCCAATTGCTACTTAAGGTTACTTTCCCAGCTTTTAGTTCCCTGTCGAACTTCCCGTTAACTACCTTAGCACCTAAACCCACCAAGAACTGAAGAACCCAATCCTGGCAGCGCACCACCGCTCAAAGGAAGCGCTGTTGTTTTATTTATGAGGCGGCCCTCCGTGGGAACGCCCTGCAGGGCCTGGCGGTGACAGTCCCCGGCGGGCTCCACAGCCCTGAACGCGCAAACCCGCCACATGAAGCCGGCTCT